TGTATTCCCTCTATTCCAAAATGTACGTCCACCTTTCTATTTTTTTTTCCCAAATTAAATGTCTCATTTGAAAAGTCAAAAGAAATTTTTTTTTTTTTTTTTGCAACATTAATACCAATTTAACCTTCTTGCATTGAAGGTATACAAGTTATATCATCACATCCAAGTGAACCCTATGGATAAATTTGGTAATTCATTCACTACCAATACAACAAAAAATACTAAAACTTTACCTCTTAAAAAATTAGATTCCCAAAAAGTTAGGGACATTTATTTTGGACAGATAGCGCATGAGTCCAGTACTACTCATCATATCATTGAACATATGGTAAAATGCACCAGAGGTATACTGGCTTCAATTAAATTGAGGTGTTCTACTTACCTTGGATAGCTTAGTAACTAGGAGGATTTACAACTTCTATCCATTCAGGGATGCAACTTTGCATATGCCTAGGCACTTTCAACTTGAGTTTGGTTTGGCTTCTTGCACCATGATGCATTTATCTTGCTCTTGTGAAGATTGGTGGTTGTCAATGCCTCTGTTTTGATCACATTGTTTTGTTTTGTGCTCTCTTCTGTTTTTCCTAACTCTTGTAACCTCTTGGCTTTATGTTGTCCTTTTGGGAACCCATGTACATTTTTCTTAACATTTGGTTCCTTGCACCATGATGCATTTGTCTTGCAATTGTTGCAATTGTTGAACAAGAGAGTTGCAAACCCAGGGACAGTCAATAATTGATTTTTGGTAGAACGAAAGGGTGTAAGCATGAGTCGGAGTCTATTGTACTCGAGACAATAGAGTCTCCGATATTAAAAATTCAATGTCATCTCTCAAACTCTACTTTACTTTATAGTATTTACTTTTATGATTGTGGATATATAATTGTTCATAATTCTGTATAATGTAATCAATTAATTCAGCAAGTTGATCTATTCACTCCCCTCTAAGTCATTTAGAGGTTAATTACAACATAATCAACCAACAGTTTCGCACTGCACTATAAATGTTGTCATAATCAAACTCTTATTTATTATTTGTGTGTGTGTGTATCTATATATATATATATATAAAAATTATTCATGGTTATATAGTATAGCTCCTTCAAAGTTCTTTGAATATTTTTAGTCTCACTTTTGAAAATTTAGGAGGAAAAAAAAAAAAGTGTCTCCATTGTCCAATATATATACATACTCCATTCTATAATATTATAAGTAGATATTGAAAACTAATATAAGAAGAAAAAAATAAAGCCAAGTGAAGCATTCCTTTTTTCTCTCTTGACTTACTCGATAATTGTGAGACACTCAACTGAACCACCAGTACCCGTCGGCCTGTCCTCACTATGTATTCCACAAGGCGGCTGGTGGTGGTGGATGATCTCTTGGCAAAAGTAGTACTCTGGACAGGGCAGATGGCATGAGTGGAGAGGGTTGTCATGATCACCAAACAGCTTGATTTATAGATTTTGTTTTAAATTTGATACCCAAAGCTTCACCCTTATATATATATAATGGGTTCCACATGATAATGATATTAGAAAAGAAGTCCACACATCTGTTACCCCTTCACAATTATAGATTAATAAAGAAGTCCACACATGTGACCTCTATTTAATGCAGTTCGTATCAAGAAAGTGTTAATTTATGCGTGGACACGAATAGAAATACCGGATATGGATACAATTCTAAGAACTATAGGACGTGCACAATTGTGAAAAAATAATTATACCCCTTCCGTTCTTAAAATAGTAGGACTTTTAAGAATTGTGACGGTTCAATTTACGAGAGTTTACGATTTTTTAAAAGTGATATTTTTTATTAAACGGAAGAAATATATATATGATAATAAAATATGATAATAAAATAATATTATAATCTTTTATTATATATATGAAAATTAAACTTTTATTCAATTTCTATTTTATATAACTAATAAACCTAACTTATTTTGAGTAGACCCATCAAATAATCCATTACTCGGAAAGCGGAATACATGCGGAGGTGTAAGCATTTACAAGAATAGATAGACGGAAACAAGATAAGATTTTGGTCTTATCCATTTCACTCTTCACCACTCTTCGTTAGCTCCAACATCTTCTCCATCTCGTCCTCATATTCTCGCTACCAATCACTCTCTCCTAGAGATTCTCTCATCCCCTGCTCGATCATTATCTTTCTTATCTCAACGTTATACATGATACAGACATATACACATACATATATATATTTGTATATAATCTGCATCTACTCTTTAACAAAAATCCAAACAGTCAGCCGGTTATATATATATATATATATATATATATATATTTGTATTCCATCAAAAGATAATAATAAAATAAAGGAACACTTCTATTGCGGTGGGACACGTGTTCGACACCGATGTACAATGTCAGTGCTTCATAGGTGAAAAGTTTCTATATGTGGAATAAGGTCTATGTGTGAAGAAATTCTATGGGCATTTTGACACGGGCTCGTATGGCATAGTTTTTGCTTATGCTTTTAAGTAAAAGAAAAAGAGAAGCAGAAGCTAGCACTTCTATTTAGCTTATCTGTTACTGTTTGGAACTGTATTTTAGAAGAACTTTTAAGGCCAGAAGAGTTTTTAATGTATGTTTGGCAAATCATTTGTTGAAACTCTTCTAATGCTTAAATAACTATTTTGCCCTGAATTCAGTGTTTTTTGGACTCTTCGGTAACATAGAGTAGTTAACATGTGTGTTTTTATATATATATATCTAACTCTTTTTTAAACACATACAAACAACCCTTTCAATATAATCAAATAATCTAACATGACATATACAAACGACTCATTCAATATAATTAAATAATTCATGCCATATATAAAATATTACATTGTATTAAACATCAACTAACAAAATAACAACCCATTCAATATAATCAAATAATACAAAATGGCATAGCATCAACTAACAAAATATTTATCCAATCATGAGTTTCGTAACAATTCTATCTCGGATAACAGTCATCTCATCATTAATTTAATGATACCAAATATTCATCTAAGCATTAGCTCTGTAGCAATTATATCCCGGATAACACTCGTTTCTAGTATCATCACTTGTGAACGAAATATCAAATTCACCAATTTCCTCATCGAGTACATAATCATTTTTTCCATATGTTTGAAATCTATGTCAGCAATAGCCTCCCTCCTTATAAAATTATGGAGAGCCATCGAAGCACTAACAATGACAACTTGCTTATCAAACTCAAAATTAGGCATATTTTGTAAGATTCTCCATTTTGCCTTCCACGCACCAAAAGTTTGTTTCCTCATGTTCACTTTCTTCATGATGTTCTCCCTCATCAACATTATCATCAATGGTAGGTGATTGATTATACAAAGGAGGCATGGTTCCAGAAGTAGGTGCCCAAGAACTCATCTAGCTTAAGTGAGTGCTCTAGACCCTTCATACGAAATTTGGCCGTATCGGTATACTTCTGCACTTTTTAATTTAGAAGTTAAAAAATAAAAATTACCATTAAATTTACTATTAAAAATTGAAAAATATATACACATATACATACTTGTAACTTTGTCTCCCACTAATCACTTGAAGCATCTATAGTCTGTCTTTCAGTATCCGACCCAATTCCGCTCTCTCTCTTAATAATGCCTCCCAGAGCTGCCAATCTTTTCTTACATTATCCTAATGATTTTTTTAGTGGTTTCCTTTCATAGTTTTTGTTGGTGGACTAATTAAAATTCTCAATAAAATTCTTCCAACCCATTTTGTTCAAGTGTGTTTCATTTCTATTACCAGCTTTGACTTGTTGTACAAGATCAACAAAAATCGCATGTTTGGTTGAGTCCCATACTACTTTTGTTTTAACTTTTTCTCCTTCAAGCTCCATCTAATTTACAAATGAAATAGAAATTAATAAATAATGGGAAGTGATTACTCACATATTAGCATTGGACTACATACTTTAATTATTATTGAAATTTTTTCCAATAACTCAAACACAATATAAAAGTATACTCATAACAATATCTCAAACATAATATAAAAAGCGTAAAAAGCATAGTTATAACAAATGTTATAATGTTGTATATCATATATATGTATCCATATATCATGGAAAAATGGTTGTTTATACAAAAATGGTTGTTTAAGCGTTCATACATATATGTATGTACATGTATCCATACAACAATGTTCATACGTGAATGTTTCAACATTCACGTGATCGATTAAGGCATAAATAAAAAAATGGGTTAAAAAAAACAGTATGATTAATTAGTTCAAAAGTTTGGTCATTCCAAACTTGACACCATATATTCAATCCATTCATATACAGCAAAGTAAAATATTACAATTGTTCTCGATACTTTAATTATTATTAAAGTTTTCTCCAATATATAAATAAAAAATTGGTTAAGAAAAATAGTACGATTAATTAGTTTAAAATTTTGGTCACTCCAAACTTCACACCATACATTCAATCTAACATTCATCAACAAAGTAAAAGATGTCGTATCCTTGCCTGAAACGAAAGAGATCCTTAAAGCAATAATCTTCGAAGGAAAGTGACGATCTTCCTGAAGTTGGAGTTGGAGTTGTCCTTAGGGTTTAGAAATAATATGATGTCTTTTATAATGGCAGATGTTGTAATTTTATTTTCTCAATGTCTAAAAGAAAAGGGTATGACGGGTTTCAGAATAATACGATGTCTTTTATAATGGCAGATGTTGTAATTTTATTTTCTTAGTGCCTAAAAGAAAAGGGTACGCTTGTCATATTGAAAGATTCTTCAAACCCATAAACAGCTTCCTATGTGTATCTAGAAGAGCGTTTTGAAAAAGCCGCTCTTTTAAGAGCTAAAAGCTCTTCTATAAAACTATCCAAATACCCTTCATAATAGCTTCTAAGCCCAGAAAGCCAAAAACAACGTTTGAAAAGCCAATCCAAACAGGGCCTATATGTATATGTGATCATGAAGTCAGTTAAATCATACTATAACTTTCATTACTGAGCACAAATTGAAATTTACATCTATCATTGAACAAAAATTTGCCAAATTCAAGGCATTGTGGCTACATTATTTCATATGCCCCAAAATTGTCTGCAAACAATTTACAAAGAAAATATGAAGCAAATGATGCTATGTGGAAATCATTAGTGTAGTTTCACACTTCTTTAAGTTGAAGAGATAAATATGTCAAAAACTTTAAACAAGAAACCCTAAACCTAACCCTAAACGTAAACCTAAACTTAGGTTAGAAACGAAAAGAAGATCGAAATTACAAAAGTGAACGTTGAATATTTCCAAAATCGACAACTGAGAAGATGAGCTGAAGTAACTTCCTCCTCGCATTTTCATCCCTTTCTTTGCTGTTTGATCCTACTGTTTTTTTCCTATACATAATGACCTTTACAAAATTGAACATGTCCCGGACCTCCATTAAACAAAACCTGGAACAGTCTTTGGGCAGGAATTAGGTGGTTCTTTTCCAGCTCCCGAAAATTATGGCTACTCCCCCACCTTTTAAAATCAAGCAACAGTTAGTGGATCTGCCTCATCCTCCTTGTCCTTCATTGATACCCAATCTTCTGTCTCTGTAATGCACACAAACATAACAAACTGTAAGCACCAAGAAACGATTAATCCAAGGATGCCAAATATCAATGAGCTTCTATATATCGGAAACAAAGAGTTGGGGTACAAGCTGTTAGGCAAAGAATACCGGCTGTAAGAATTCATAGACAAAAATATCGGACAAACCTTGAATTTATGTACTAAAATATAAGACAAATCTTAATTCCGTTACAATGACATATACTACGCATGCTTGGAAGCGAGTTACAGCTCATCCAACTATAGTACAACAACCATACTTACTCGACTTTTCTGCGAGCACTGATAGCCGCCTCTGCAACATAGTTGCCACAAGTAGGAAGATCGAGCACATCCCAAACATAACAGTGATCGGAAATGCTTTAACCTTTAAATAGACACCAAAACAAATTTTCAGTTACAGAAGGAAAATCAGTTTTGATGCATAATAGCAATGTTTTACCGTAGTGCTTAGAAGACAAGGTTGGGAGAAGAAAGGAGGGGGGACCCAGGGCTAAAAGAATCAACTGTTCGGGATAATACAACATCACCCAAAAGTTTCTAGAGTCTACATGCACAATAAATTTGGCAAAGTTGGACAAGTCAAATAGGTTCGGGCAAAAAACAAGAAAGATAATTAGATTAAAACAGTCAACCTGATGGTTCAGGGTTCAAAGGTTTTAATTGGGTTAAGATCGATTGAGAGTGCTCAAAACCCATGGCATGCCAAGGACAAAGGAGAAAACACTAGGTGGATCCAGGTCAAGTTCTATGACTATTTATACAACCCACAGTAAAGTATTAAGGACAACAATAAAACACAGTAAATTCAGCAACATACATTGTAAAGCACAATGCACACAAACATATTGAGAGGAATGCGGAAGAAGTTCATGATGGTGCTTCTGGCCTCCTCGGGAATGTATTGGGACCTCATCTTCATGAGGGATGGCCAAAATATCCCCACGCAAGCCTCAAAAGCACAGAAGCCAAGAACCTGGATACAACCTGAAAATGAGATGCCTCCACCTTTCTCCTTAGAAGGAGGTACCAAGAACTGTTCCAAACAAGAGAAGTTAGAAATGACAAGGATCAAAAGAATTCATGCGGGAAAAGCAAAAAATGAATGCATAACGTACACTTGTCAAAATGGGAAGCATGAGAGATACGGAAGAAACCACAAATATTATCTGCATGTAGCTCTCAACTTTAGGTGATGTGTGAGCCATCAAGCGAGATGCAAGTGAGCTTCCCAACATTGAAGCCAACATAAAAGTTGCAAAAATGAAACCATGGGGAATTTCCTCCTCATTTGGGCTCAAAGCAGGAGTCCAGAGGAACACAAAGGTATACATGGAACCTTCAAACAGGGACTGTATTGCACCCAGTAACGCAATCTTCTCATCTGAGGCACAAACAAAATCACCAAGGGTCCAAGGAGGAGGATAAAAACATAAGCAAGAAAACTGAAGAGCAAAAACAAGAAGAGGGAAAGAAAAGGAAAATTCAAGGAAACATATGGATATATCAAGGAGATGGAAGTTAAACAATAAATGAGGCACTGATAACATGCTTGGCCCACCACAATCTTAAAAATGATGGTTGAGAAATTTCTTAAAGAATAATGCATCCTGCAATAAATGATATAAGATACAGGCAGTCTCTCCTTTCCTTTTTACTCTCATGGAAACTTTTATTTAAGTAATAGTATTGGAGATTTGACATCTGTACAGCACCAAAAAATGCAAAATGATCACAATTAGGGTCAGACACCCAGGCCATATCTACATGGCCAATCCAAAGGCATGTTTAAAGAAAGAAAAAATAAATAAAATCTAAGATCGATGGTTGATTACTTGGGAGGATTGCTACATTGTGAAACTTGAATCACTCGTGTCTTATGCAAGCAGTCTCCAAAATACTCCACGAGTATTCATAAGCAATGATATTAAGCAATCACTAATCTAGTGTAGGGATCTACCTGAAGCAATAGCCACAGCAGCACCCTTGAACTGTGTAAACAAATCCTTGTTCTCTGAAGGGTCTCCATAGTTCTCAGTCCATGATGATAAAATAATGGCCATCCCAATTGCAAGAAAGCACGAAGCAGCATCAAAGGGAGCCACAGGCCCAAGATTGAAGCTATCAACTAGCAGATTTCCGAACAAACCAGCGACAATAGCACAGAGACCATTTCCAAGAAATATTGCTTTGGAGAATGTTAGTGAGAGCCATTGTTGTTCGAATCCCCTCTGCAAAGAGAATGAGAAAACAGGATCAGTAACAATCAAAATGAGGTTACTTCCATAGATAACCTCCAATCAGTTGTTGATTGAATAAACCTGCAAATAGTCAGAGTCAAACAAGAATATGTGGAACACACAACTAAATGGTTCACACCCATATTTTACAATTCAGAAAGTATGATCTAAAGACAAAAGACAGCACAAACCAAATTAAAATATTAAATGAGAGAGAGAGAGAGAGAGAGAGAAAAGAAAAAAAAAAAAAAAAAAAAGAGTGACATGGCAGTGGACTAGAGTATAAAAGTTTGGTTGCCATTGGAGAAACCCATCCGCAAATCTTGTTAATAAAACTTAACTTTTCAAACAAGGACAAAACAAGGGGGATAGCAAGGACATCAGATATTTCTATTTCTGAATTTGAGTTCCTAATTTTGGAAGCACCTTGGTGGCATAAAGATTAAAAAAATCAATCCTGTATAAAAATAAAGTTCATCAAAATATTTCTAACTAAATTTGGATAGGCTGATGTCTAAATTTTTCTTTCTTTGTAAGTAAAATTTCATTAAAAGCGCCTTGTACACAAAAGAATACATCACTATACCCTCAAACTATTCAAAAAATCAACAAAATCACAAAAGATAAGTAACTCAAAATATAGTGTTTCGGCACCCATATTGATGCTTCATACATCAAAAGATCTCCTTCTCGCGCAACAAACTCTGCCAATACAAAGCAGACCAGCCCTCCATGCATCTTGAGCTTGCCTTCCCACTGAAAACCCCCTCCAAGACTCGAGAACTTTCATTGCAGAATTTGCAACACCCACTGCATCCCAAACACCACTGAAACATAGCCCAAACGTCCCTCACTACTCAACAGTGCAATAAAAGATAATCATTGACTCCACATCCCTTTTGCACATGCAGCCTGATGTCTAAATATTGCCAAGTAACTAAATCTAAATGTGGTCAATTTTCATTTTCTTTAGCATACTTTGGCATCGCATGTTTTTTGGTTAAGAAAAAAAATGTTCCAAATGAATCAAAGGAAAGCAAATACCAGATGCTAGAAGGCATATGATACACTAAAAGAAGTCTCTACTCAAATATCATGAAAAATATTGAAAAGGACATTTCTCTAAATCTCTAGAAATGGATCTCATAAGTAAGCATTACATTTTCAAAGCTTTCTTCTTGATGAGTAAGATTCACATGAAAAATGAGCCTTTAGAATTTCCTAAAACATTACTTCAAAAAGTGGACTCTCATATAATTTCTGCCATTATGAAAGCATTTACACTAGCTGCATTCATGCGCATAAGAGTTGTTATTCGGAAATAAATCCTACTCATGGTCAATGAAATCATGACAGTCATGATCAGAGCAAATTACACCAGATCATTAAAAATATTGATATGGTTAACAAAATAATGTAACATGTAATCAATTTTATAAGGATATGTCAGTTATCAGTTACTTAAGAACAATAGCAGAGCAAAAACCACTTACCTTGTTGTGTTCCGCCACAAGCCATGACTCAAATGATGAAAATAGGAGAGAAGTGGCAATACCACCTAAAACGCGACCCAACATCAAAACTTTGTATTGAGGAGAATGCTTGGTAATGCAGCTCAGAATGTAAGTAATGCAGTAAGTCACACATGCCCTCTTCCGGCCCCTGAATTTAATTTATTTAGGCATAAATATACAAGAAAGCAACCTCATCGCTAAAGAAAGACACATGACACAATATTCAGAGGGAAGTCTCACTGTTTGTCAGCTAGAGATCCAACAATTGTTCCAAACAGCATGGAAGATCCAAACCCTGCGATAAAGAGCTGCCCAATCTCCCCCTTCCCAAAGCCATACGTACTGTATAGGAAGTACACATATGGACCCTGCAACCAATCCCCGGCTATTGCCGCATAAACACTAATCGATCAAAGAAAGAAACACAAACATGCCCAAAAGTTATAACTATAGTTCAAACAATTTCCTTCAAGATTTACCAGAAGTAATCTATATAAAGTGGCAGCTCAAGAAATTGAATCCACCAAATATATTAAACTTCCCTCTCATGCCAGAAAACTAAAAAAATTATAACTTCTTGAATTCTAAAGTTTCTGATTTTCAAATATCTTCTTGAATTTTGTATTTTATTCTGTTACAAACAATTGAAATAGTCTAACAAGTAGAGGATTGTTTCTGCTTTTTGACATCCCAAAACAATGAAAAAAAAATACAGAATTCGGATTCTCTTCCTCCTACATTTTCACAGTAATCAGAAATAGCATTAAGAATCAATGGTATTTCGATCCAACGTCATTCCACATCCAAAGAGTCCAAAAAACCCTAATAATTTTGGATAATAATAATTATTATTATTATTATAAACGCAATCTAAAAGTTCATTTCGAACGACACATTGCGAGCAGATTCATAAGGAGACACTATTTCCACAAAATCACACATATCAGATTCGATCAATTGTCACAATATCAGCAATGAATAATTCAAAGCCCATTTTAATTTTAACATTTACACAGAAAAAAAGAAAAAAGAAAATGTATACATATTTATATATAATATTGAAATCACCAGATCACTGGTTGGCTTACCCATCATAAGAGAGTAGACGAGAAGGTAATTGTTCTTGAAGGATTCGAAGGATTGAGAAGTGTTGCTGCGATCTTTGTTGTTCTTGCTTAGCTCCACAGCTGCCACTACGACCGCGAGAGAGCCGAAAACCAGGTAATAGAACACCTCCATTGTTGCCTGCCTCGACGATCCCTGCTCCAAATCTAGAAAGAGAAACAGAGAGAGAGAGTGTGTGAAAGAGTGTCCTCTTCCCAGTAATATTCTTTAGCTTCTCACGTACAGTGCGGAAAGTATACAAATCCAACACACACATATATATATATATATATATATATATATACACATATAATTAAATTTCCATTTATTAAAAAAATTAATAATAAATAAGTAATTTGAGTTTTATAAAGGAAAATCACATATAAATGGAGTCAAAGTTCCATATTTACTTAGAAACTGGGTCAAAGTTTTATATTTCTTTAAAATTGATTGCTGAGGTGGCACATGATTTTTTACTGTTTAAAAAATTGTGGTGCCTAAAATGCTCTTCCCTAACAAAAAAGTAGTACCTTCAGTTCAAAAAAGTAGTACCTTTGGAGAAAAAGTAGTACATTCGCGGGTGTTTAAAAAACATGGTACCTGGATGCCAAAAAGTAGTACCTTCAGTTCAAAAAAAAAAAAAATTAACTTTGTATGGAATAGAAAAGGAAGCGGAAACCAAATTAAAAATTCTAACTTTGCACTTACAATTTTCTATTGAATTAAAGAAAAAAACTCAATAAAATCAAATTAAAAATGTTAACTTTGCACTTACAATTTTCTCTTGATTCTTCTTTTTGTGCAAACCTTACAAGCAAGACAACAACTTCTTTAGAAGCAAAACAGAGAAAATGAATTGAAAATAAGAGACATTAAAAATTAAAAGAAAAAACCTTAGAAAAATAAGAGATATTATAAATTAAAAGAAAAAATCAAAAGGACAAAGAAGAAAAAGCAAAACAGAGAAAATAAATTGAAAATAATAGACATTAAAAATGAAAAGAAAAAACCCTAGAAAATCAAATTAAACCGTAGAAACACTTTAATTTTTAAATATTATATATTTCATTCTCTAATTAGATTTCCTTATGAATTTGAAATAATATGAAAAAAAAAGTTAATTATTTAGTTAACAATATACTAGTTAAAATTGAAAACGAAATCTAAATAAATCCTATTAAAAAATAAATTAATATATTTACTGAAACACAATATTGTACTAAAACTACCTTTAATTAGTTTGAGGCAAATTAGAAATTATATTAATTATTATTTAGGGAAGACTTAGAAATATAATAAAACTGGGCTTATTTATAATTATTACTAAATATTCTTTTTATTGAATCAGTATCTAATTAGATTTTGTTCAGTAATTTAATTTTTTAATATTATACATTATGAATTTGAAATAATACGGAAATAATATGAAAAAAAGTTAATTATTTATTTGAGAATAATAATATAGTAGTTAAAATTGAAAATGAAATACAAAGAAATTGTATTAAAAAATAAATTAATATATGTACTAAAACACAACATTACATTGAAACTCCCTTTAATTCCTTATTAGGCAAATTAGAAATTATATTAATTGCTATTTAGAGAAGACTAGATATATAATAAAATTGGGTTTATTTATAATTGTTACTAAATATTACTTTTATTGAATCATTTTTTAATTAAAAGTACTAAAACTCGTATAAGTTATATATATAAATTTAAGTTTTATAAAAACTATTTTAAACACCTTATATTGATTAAAAAATTAAAAATCATAATATATAGGTAGTTTTTGTCAGTTTTATAAAAACTCCTTCAAATGGGGTACCCAAACAAGTGATTGGATATATCCCCAAACAAGTGATTGGATATATCAAGGAGATTGGAAGTTAGACAATAAATGAGTCACTAATAGCACGCTTGGCCCACCACAATCTTAAAAATGATAGTTGAGAAATTTCTTAAAGAACAATGCATCCGGCAATAAATGATATAAGCTACACGAAGCAGTCTCTCCTTTCTTTTTTACTCTCATGGAAACTAAAATTTTATTTAAGTAAAAGTATTGGAGATTTGACATCTGTACAGCACCAAAAATTGCAAAATGATCACAATCAGGGTCAGACACCCACGCCACATCTACATGGCCAATCCAAAAGCATGTTTAAAGAAAGAAAAAATAAAATGTAAGATCGATGGTTGATCACTTGGGAGGATTGCTGCATTGTGAAACTGGAATCACTCGTGGTCTTATGCAATGATATTAAGCAATCATTAATCTAGTGTAGGGATCAACATGTAGCGATAGCCACAGCTAGCAGCACCCTTGAACTGTGTAAACAAATCCTTGTTCTCTGAAGGGTCTCCATAGTTCTCAGACCTTGATGATAAAATAACGGCCATCCAAATTGCAAGAAAGAACGAAGCAGCATCAAAGGGAGCCACAGGCCCGACCGCCCGAGATTGAAGCTATCAACTACCAGATTGTTTTTGGTTTTCATTTTGTTTCTAAAACCTAATTCTTATTATATTCGGAAGATATGTTTAGTGCCTTCCCTGGGTTTGGAGCTAACTTTTATTACACTCTGGTCGTGGCTGGTTATTTTTCAATCCAATCCTATATTGAAAATAACAAGCCACGATCACAATGTAGTAAAAGTTAGCACCAAAATCAGGGCAAGCACTAAACAAATCTTCTGAAACCTTCTTGTATGAGAGGTTACCAAACTGCTAAAAATAATACTAAGAACTAGGTTTTAGAAACAAAATGAAAACCAAAAAAAAAAACCACCTGATACGGCCAACAGTCTTTGCAATGCTCTAGAGCATTCCTGTAAAAATCGAAAATTGTGTCAGCAAACATATATTTGAATCACAACAATTGCCTATACATTTTCACAGTAACCACAAAGAGCATTAAGAATCAATGGTATTCAGATCCAAAGTCATACCACATCCAGAGAGTCCAAAAAACCCTAAATTACGATAATAATAAATAAATAAATAACGCAATCTAAAAGTTCATTTCGAACGACACATAGCGAGCAGATCCATTAGGAGACACCATTTCCACAAAATCACACATATCAGATTCAATCAATTGTCACAATATAAGCAATGAATAATTCAAACCCAATTTTAATTTTAACATTTAAACAGAAATATATATATACATATATATATAATATTGAAATCACCAAATCAATGGTTGGCTTACCCATCATAGTGCAATAACCCTTGCCAAAACCATTGAAACAAATGGAAAAGAAACACATAACAGTACATAATAGATTATATTGTAATTACATTGCATAGCCATTTAGGATTCAGGGCTACACTTACCTAACCCAAATCCTCTATAAAGAATTATTGTACATTTAATTCAATACAATATAAACAATTGATCATCTTGTCTAACAAATAAAAATTGACAACGATGACAAAAAAAAAAAAAAAAAAAAAAATGAATATTATTTTGTTATTGCAAAGGCATATCTCTTGCACTCCATTTGAAAGACTTGTGTCACTGCATCGTGCTCTCACGCCCTACCAACAGTCCAACCCAGCTAGTGGGAGGCCATCCCACTTCCCCAGTTTAGGAGGTTTCAGTAAAGGGAGACGGGCTTTATGTTTCTTTCATAAAGCTCCGAGAGACATGGAAAGTGTTTGAATTTGTAGCACTCTAACATAATGAAGAACCAAACATGAAAGGAATGCATTATTTCATTTTAATATCTAGCACTGTCACATAATAAGTACACAACTTCGATCCAATTAGAAAACCAAACACAACCAATCAAGACTTTATAAATATAAAATCCCTAAAAAAAATAATAAAACAGTAAATATTAAGCTAAATATAGCGGGCTTAATTTAAGGCAGACATTACACTTTTACTCCTACAAGGAGGTCAATAACTATGTTTGTCCACAATACTACCTGCTTATAATGTTTGTAGTTTCGGCTGAACAGTCATGTTATAGAACAAACACATTTGATACTTAAAGACATATTTAAAATAATAAAATAAGCAAAGATCATAGTTTATTTTGTCCATAAAAGTAAAAAAATAAATAAAAAGAGGCTTGATTATTAATGCAAATGATGTTAGAAATATTTTCAAATACATTAGAAAAACAAACCTTAATTATGAAAAGAATAGTCACAAAAGCATACCTATCTTTTTTCCGAAACTACTCAACCCATTAAGTGTTTCTCTTCCAAACAAGTAAACCTGGAATTTGAGATTAAAATTAATAATTTTGAAATATGGACATTAGCAGTGAAAGTACTTTTATAATTACCAATTAAAGAAATAAAAAGAGCATGAATAACTGAAAAATATAACTACCTAAGGAGTGAGGAGAGGCATATTTGCATATTTCTTGATGACCCTTTGATCTTAGAGCCAAAAATTCAGGAACACAGAAACAGCTGCAAAGATTAGAGTTTTACATAAAAACCACTTATTTATCTTCAACCTTCAAAGTATCAAATGTATACAATATTGGGCTTCGAATAATTTTTTTTTTTTCTGCTTATATCGTTCAAACAATTGCAAGAATCTCTAAGTGCTATCGATAGTGCAAGAACCCTAATTCTATATATATATATATATATATATATATAATATAATATTTCTGGTAGAGTACAGAACAGAAAAATAAGAAAATTTAAAAATAAGATCAAATCTTACAACGTTTTATTGACACAATACACAATACATAAGAAAATTTCAAGATATAAATCAAACCGTTTTGAGGGAGTGTGGGAGAGAGCCGTGTCGTGTCGCGGAGGGGCTGCTGACGGGATCATCCAGTGGAGCTGTAGAGGACAGCCGCAAAAGACTTGTAGTTCTAGGGTTTACATTCTGTATCCTTTAACCTTAGCAAACCAACGATTAAGATGCGTCAAAAATGAATGGCTAGGATGAGAACTTATTTGAATTATGGGCTTTTGGGCCTGCTAATAAAATTATTTAAATTGGGCTAAGCTTATACTCATGTAGTAATGTGGGCTAAGCCTTTTAAATGTAAAATGAAAATACAAATGGGCCTATGTCTTAACGAGCTTGTTCACGAGAGCCGAATTCAGTATTTCTCAAGATCGGCTCGTTTACTAAACGAGCTTCAAATCTTAGCTCGGGCAGCTCTGTTCATTTGCAACCCTAATTAGGTGAGAGCTTGGGTGGGTCCAACTTGGAACTCGAATCCTGTCCAAGAATTATACAATTTATTTGAAACAGAATTTGAACAAATATTTTACTAATTCCAGCAAATCAAAATATATAAAAATTTTGTGATCTTTATATTTATAAATTTACACATTGTTTATGTAAAATAAATAAGTTAAAATTAAATTATTTGTAGTATAATAGGTATTAGTTCAATTTTATTTTTTATTTTTATTTTTATTTTTATTTTTGCCAATTTTGATCTTTATGCAATATAAGAAGGGAAAAAAAATTCAAACATAGATGAAAAGAAAGACAATTGACAAGGAAAAATACATGTTGAGAAAATCCATTTTCTACAGATTCCAGTTTTGGGTTCATGGCTGAAAAGGGGTGGTTGAGAAGTAAACGAGGAGACCCAGATATATCAAGGAGATGGATGTTGAACAATAAATGAGTCACTAATACCACAACGGGCCAAAGCTATGTTGGAAAGGGGCCAAAGCTATGTTGGAAAGGTGACGTTATTTATCACCGTTAGATACTCACTGGATGTTGTCCAGTGAAAGAGTAATCGGAGAAGATTTTTTTTTTCAGAGTTGAGACCCTGCCATTGGGATTACTAACCTGATTTTGATACGTGATTTAGGTAAATATATGTTTTACTAACACGAGCAACTCGAAATACATGAAAATTTTATGATTTTTATATTTGTAAAGTTACACAATTGTTTAAGTAAAATGAAGTTAAAATTAGATTATTTGAAGCATACTAGTCATTAATCGAACTTTACCACGCTTGCTTTACAATTTTAAAATAAAAAACTACAATAATGAGTCATTCAAATGTGAGCGATTTGGTCAGGGAGATGCATATATAGTACTTCAAGATTTATTATGTGTCGAACCTCTTTTGTTCTTCTTGGCATATGTTATTTTGGCATAAATTTTTTTAGTTCTTAAAAAGAAACGGTTCGAGAAGATTCAATTATTCGAAATGAATTTTTAGGTTCGGAAATTTATGTACATCAAATTCATAAAAATTCTTGTTGGGGTTTATGTTACGGTCAAAAAATTAAATTATGAAAGAAAACCTGTTGCTTCAAATTTTTTTTTTTTAGCCAAATTTGTCCTTTATGCAAATTAATATTTTTAGATTTGTTAAAATAAATGATATAAAAAATGAGCAAAATTTTGTTAACAATAGATTGTTTGTAAAAAAAAAAAATAGCATAGGTTATAGGTTGCCACACAACGCGTGCAAGAGATGAAATATTGAAATTTTTATTGCAACTATAAATATGTTCTTTGTTTTGTTCAAAAATTTTTATCTTACAGTTGTTCCTAGTTAGGGCTAGAATGTGATTCTCACTTTTTTGAAACGATTGATTTAAGTTTGGATGATCATATCTACATTGGGCTTGTATAGGCTTAATCTTACCAAAATAACTCATATATATTCTTTATAATCTTATGTTTTGTTTGGTTGGAGGGTTGGAGGGATGGGAAAAAAAGGGAAAGTGATGGAAGAGATATCTCAGGAAAAGAAAGATGTCACTTCTATTTTTTGTTTAAGTTGAACAGAATGAATAGTAAAAAAAATGAATGTGGTGATAATTTTTTATTTTTTTATTATTTTTTATTTCATTGGAAGGAAGGGAAAGAGAATTTTTATATTATTTTTATCAATATACTCTCACTATAAGAAGGATATATCTATTTCAAATTTTTTTAAAAAGGTTAAATTTGAAAATTGTATATTTATAGGTAGTTGTTAATTTTTTTCACCCTCTCTTTTCTTCCCTCCAACCAAACACAAAAGGCCACCCATCCCTCCTCGATCCTTCCCTTCCAACCAAACTTAACAAGTATCTTGTAGAAAAAATTGTTTTCTTAAAACATGAGGTTTGCTTTGAACAAGTAGTCCAACCAAAGCAAATGTAATATATATTTTTTTCACTTGACAACAAACTCAAACATTAATATGTACCATTTTTTAAATTTTTTTTTTTTTTTTTTTCACTTTCTCAGGAGTTAAAACAAACGAACATTCATTATATATTTTTACTCCCACCAGGAGTAGAACTAAGGCGGAGTTTCCCCAAATTTTTTTTCAAATTCTTCTAAAATTCCCCACAAAATTATTATTTTATATAAATACCCCTACTTATGACCCCAAAAATTCATATAAAATTTTAATTGGCCCCAAATTTTTTGCAAATTCTTCTAAAATCCCCCACCTAATTTTTTCCCAAACACTTGTTTATTGCCCCCAATAATTATGAATTTAGAAATAAATATAACTGTCTTATCTCAAAACACATAAAATTTTAATTTAGACCTTTTTAAGCCTACTTTTGAAAGCTCAAATATTGTAAAATAAAAAATGTAAGTTCGTTGTTGATGAATTTTACTGCAATGTATTATTGTTTTACTAGAACATTTACATATACACAAGCTTAATATCTATTATATGAATTTAAGAGAGAAGAAGAAATTACACTATTGTCTTCTTGCACATTTAATAAAAATACATGAACCTTCTTTATCAATTAGTTTCGTGAGAAGTTGTAAAAACTAAAATATTGTGATACTAAAGAGACAATAATGCCAACAATACTATCATATAAGTTAAATTTTAGTTGTCACATGCTAGATGACAATCTCTATAACTACTATTTATATAAATTTTTAAAGCAATTCTCTATGTTGTTCTTACTAATTGTGTTTTGTTAAATTTCCTTTAGTTCAAATGTTGTATTTTTCTCTTAATTTTTCATCAAGGTAATAAAGACACATATTTCTCAAAGTGGAATTACAGTACCAAAATTTTGTTTTTCAAAGATTGAAACAATTGTTGAATAATTTTATAATTCTTGAACAACGTTTTTTTTCTTTTCTTTTTCATATTAATTTTCATTACTACTTATTTTGGTTCATTTCTCTCATTTTTTAAATTGTATTTTTTTCAATGTATACCAATAATAATAATATTATAAAGAAATTGCATTACGATTGATTTCAATTTTTTTAATTATATAGTACTAGTTCAGCCCCAACTCCACAACGAGAGAAATTTCATACACTGAATTGACCCCATTTTCTTTTCTTTTATTATTCTTTATTTTTCAATATTAAAATTTCTGACTCAGTCGCATGCTAAAACTCTCAACCTTCCCAAACAATCAATCAATGATTTTTACACCGACTTATTGTAGTGCTGCACTTACTATTTTTAATTGGTCATCTACTCCATAAATAAATGAATAGCCCCTTTCAATTACTTATATTTTATATAAATAGCCAATCAAAAATAACTTGGTTAGACAATTCACTACTCCCTTTGTCCCATAATACAAATTCTTTACGGGGAGTATAACTTTTTAAAGAGAAATGTAATCTTTTAAAAATTACAAAGTTATCATTTCAAGTTTAAATGTATATATATATAATCAAGTTTGAAATTTTTTAAAATTTTAAGAGTATTTTATAAAAAAATATGAAATATATTATTTAAATTTAAACAAGTGAACAAGTATTTGAGAGAACCAAAAAAAAAAAAAACTATTAAAAAATCAGAGGAAATATAAATTTTCGATTTCGCCATGCTGTCTGTACCAACACTGAACCTTCCCTCTAGAGGTGATCATACAATCAAAAGTATTTATGATTGTGTAAACTGGAAAGTTATCAGTTAGCAGCAATGAGATGAAAGAAATCCAAACAGAAGCAGATCTTTAAACCACCACCACAAATTCAGATTGTGAGGAAGCCAAAATATCCACAAATGCCCATGGCCCACTCACTCCAGAAACATCCAGAAATCTTAACAGAAACAGACCCCAGAAGCAGCGATACATCATCAAATGATTCATTTTCAAACAACCACTAAACACGCACACACACACACATATATACGCACACACACACATATAGAGAGAGAGAATCTTTAGAGTAACTGATGATATAGTTCTTCGTAAGTAGAAATAAAGTTTTGTGGCTGAAATAGTTGGTCTGACATTTTTGAAGAATGGCTGCTATAACTTCACTCACTCCACACTCATCTTCTTCCTCTTATTTACCTACAAAGTTCCATTCTACCCCTCCAATTTCCTATTCAAAATCTAGTTATGAAACTATTTCTTCTAATAATTACTTTAAAGTAAGAGCAATTGGTTCTTGGCAATTGTCTTCATGCTCCATCTCCACAGGGCTTAGGATCCGGTGTGCCGCAACCAAACCCGCGAAATCACCAGGTATTTTTGCTATTTTTATTCTCAATTCTGAACCCTATCGAATAACAATTTTATATAATAGTTAGAAGACAACATGTTTGATTAAACACCCAAAAAACAAAAAAAAAAAATTTTTTGGTAATTGGCATGTTCTGATTCTCTTCTTTCCATTTGGAGGGACTAGCTGAAGAAGACTGGAAGACTAAGCGAGAGTATCTGCTAGAGAAAAGGGTAAAATTCTCTCTCTCTCTCTCTCTATATATATATATATATATATATTTGAAGATATTAAATTTAGTATTCCCACATAATATATATATGTGAAGGAGAGTGAATTTTATATGTATGGATAACCATATTCTGAAGTTTGAGAGAGGGCTCTATTGGGAGTACAGATTATACAATTAGGGCATGATGTTTGAACTTTGAGATAATAAGTTTAATTTAAATAGAAATGCAATATTGCATCGAACAATTTAAAGGAATAGTAAATTGACCCTGCAATGACTAAATCATAATCAGTTTATTTCTCTTGGTTATTTCCATCCTAATATCAAACAAGTATATGTTGCTTGCTAAGCAAAGAGGGCAGAAGAACAAATAAACCTTTTTTTAAAATAAATAAAAAAAAAAAACCTAATGAAGTTCATTGATCATCAAATAAGAAGAAAGTATAGTCAAATCATCAAAAAAAAACCTTTCTTTTTTTTTTTTTTTGTGAATAACTTTGAAAAAACGGTTGCATGAATGAGACGTTGGATTAGGTCCTTTTATTGGGCAGGGGATACCTTATCCATTGAAGAACTTCATTGAGGGGCTTGTAATTGATAACTAATCTAAGAACACCTCTTTCTATTTCAACATTCTTTTGGACATAGAAAGCGGCACACCTCTTTTTATTCATCTATATATATATATATATATATATATATATTTATTCTTAGTAGAACTAAAAGCTGTGCATACTAGAACATAATTGAAAATGAATGACATTGTAACTATTTGCAGGTAAGGAGTGTGGATGTAAAGGAAGCTCTGCGCCTTCAGAAAGAAAATAATTTTGTGATTCTTGATGTACGGCCGGAAGCAGAATTCAAAGAGGTCAGTTTGTTCTCAATTTTCTTTTTCTTTTTTAAATTTGCAACTTAAATCTCAAGAATTATAATGATAAGTAGCTCCAAAGTCGGGAGGTATCCGACTGATTTATGTGAGTAGATGATGACATCATAATGACGTCATTAAATACAATGATGTCATCATAACTGATTTACGTGAATAGAGGATGACATCATAATGACGGCATTAAATACAATGATGTCATCATAACATCATCTCTTACTCATATAAATTTAATTGAATGTATCTGACTGTTGACTCCTATCAATATAAGATTGCATTCTTCAGTCCCATAACATATTTTAGCTTTGTGTTGCTATAAATTGCTACAAATTTTCTAATGTAGTTTTTTTTGAGTATAGGGTCATCCACCAGGTGCTATTAATGTGCAAATATATAGGCTTATAAAGGAGTGGACAGCTTGGGACATTGCTAGGAGAGCTGCTTTTGCATTTTTTGGCATCTTTGCTGGAACAGAAGAAAATCCAGAATTCATGCAGAGTATGCGATTTTGAGACTTTTATCTGACTCTACTTCTTTTGCATTCTAGGGTTTCAAACAACTCGACTTTTTTAATCAACTGATCATGGTTCAATTTTGCATATGCTAACAGTTGTGGAATCAAAAATAGATAAAAGTTCAAAGATAATTGTTGCTTGCTCATCTGGTGGTACAATGAAACCATCACAAAGTCTTCCAGAAGGCCAACAGTCGAGGTAAATCCATACTCTAAACCTATGAGAGAGTCTGACAGTCGGACAATTCTCACTACATATCATTCTCCAAACATTTTAAGCCTATTTGACCATGGATTACTTATGCTACTTTCTGCAGATCACTGATTGCAGCATACTTGCTAGTTCTTAATGGTTACACCAATGTCTACCACTTAGAAGGAGGGCTATATACCTGGTTCAAAGAAGGTTTGCCTGCAGTTGCTGAAGAAGACTGAAGTTCCGAATCAGAAACAAGGCTTCTTCGTCACTTCAATTTTTAACCCTAGTATGGTATTTGTGTCACTACCCGCTTCAACTGTGCCCTATCACACAGATCTTTGTATAAAAAATGAGTTTGTATTATCTTTAATTGCCTGGATCAAATATAGAGTGGTTTGATGCATTCCTCCTCGATCTTAAACTGTACTAATGTATTCTTAAGCTTCTGATGTACTTTTTTACTTGTGTGTGTGTGTGTGTGTGAGAGAGAGAGAGAAAGAGAGAGAGGGGGGGACAACAAACCTTACTTATTCCCAGCTATCTAAAACCCCAGCTGGACCATGGATCAAAGGCTGTTGCAAAAGCTGTGTCCATAATTTAATTGAATTCCACAAATTGTACATCCACATGTGGAATTGTTCATGACATCGAAAAAACAATTCACAAAACCTTATCGTGTTATATAATACACACGCATAGAATATTATAGTTTAACAAAGTTGCTTCCATTTCCAATTCTTCCATCACTTTGAATCGAAGAACATTATGATGGAGATACACAGAGACACTGGAAGCACAAGTAAGCATTTTTGCATTAATTTAAATAACATATCAAAAGTATAATTCTTTTCACACAACCTATATTATCTAAACTGCCTTGTTGGGTTGACAATGAAGCAGTCAACTGCCTCAAAAGATCACAAAATCTGCCAGAACATTCAGAGGCACTGGGCTCAAAAATTTAAAATAAAATTTACTTGGATGGAGTTGCACAGAGAATCATATTACTGCTAGGTGTGGGGAGAGGAGATTCTAACTTTAGGGATCTTGGGCACTTGGTTGAAGGTTTATAAATTGGGAAACCGCAAGCTTAGCAATCTCACCTATTACAGCTTGGACCTGATAATCATCTGGCTCCCTTTGCGTCGACAATCTTGGTGTGTATTCACTGGCAGCAACCATCGTCTTTCTTGATGTGGCAAGAACATTCTCCAGATCCAACTGTGACAATGCCCTTGGTTCCTGGGGAAAAAAATGATCAAGAAATTCAGTAAGACCTATGGTAAGATAAAAAATATACTCCTAAAAGTATTCCAATTAAAAGCATAACAAATACTAGTAGAGACCAACGGTAAGATAAAAAATACACGAAAACTAAATGGTGGAACATAAAAAGATGAAATACTGACATTAGATGGTTTCCCACTCTTCTCATCATTAAGTAGGTCCCTGATGGGAAAATAGGCTGCTTTTTTGCATAGTTCAAGAAGATCCGAACCAGTGTACCCATCGGCTAAACTGGCTATGCGGTCATGGTCAAAGCCATCTTCTACCCTCTCACCCTTCAAAATCTTCTTCAGTATCTGCACTCTCTCCCTGTGGTTAGGTATCCCAATCTCAAAAGCTTGTGGAAGACGTCTAAGTATTGCTTCATCAAGTTCTGATGGACGGTTGGTTGCAGCAAGAACCATCACCCGAGCATCCTCTGTATATAAATATATAATATTATCATAACCAAAAGCCTTGGCCCAACTAGGTAAACAACAGAACACAAGTAAAATATTTGACAGAAATCAAAAACCACTCTCCAGTATACACATTACACAGTACCACAGCCACTTTTTTAAAAAATAACATAACAGAAGAAAAAGAAATGCAGAACAATATCAATGCACTTCAGAGAGAGAGAGAGACAGAGACACTTACTGTCCGTGGTGAAACCATCCCACAAAGCCATGAACTCAGTCTTCATGTTTGTTAATGCTTCATTGTCAGTCGTGCTGCGCTGACCCAAAAAACTATCAACCTCATCAATGAATATAATGGCAGGCTGGAGTTTATGGGCCAAGCTAAAGACAGCAGACACTGCAAAAGTTTGGTATGATATTAACAACCAAGTATGAAAAGAAACAGAATAAAAAGGATTACCGAGAACAAATACTTTAGGATCCACATCTGATGCACAAGCAGCAATTTGTAAGGTAAGAGGACAGTTATATGATCCATTGTCAGATAGACAGTTTTTCTTCATCAAGTTCAATTTCACAGAATTAGGGAAATTGCTAACTATTTGTATATTTTTTAATTCTTGCAGATCGTTCAATTATTGTTCACTTGGAATTGTATACCTTCAAGATTATAATACCACATATGCTATTACAGAATACTTATTTATGTATCAAAAATAATTCTTTACCATTTTATGAGATAATATTGCAATATAAAAATTCATTTTTTTGTTAGTGTTAGGGACATATGGCAGTACAATAAAACCAATCCCACAGCATTTGTAACTTGTAAAGTCACAAGTATCAGTATTCTCAACCTCAGATGAGTGGATCTTCAAAGAAGCCATCAATTTTATTTCATAAATTTACAAGCTGAGGCTTTAAAATAATCTGATCCTATGCATGCAGGGAGCATTTAGCACGACAATTCAGTGTACTTTGAGTAATACCTGTCAGCATAAATCATATATTGACACTTTCAACCATACACAATTGAAGTCAAAGTAAGTTCCAGATAATATTGCTCCATTTTAATTTCCACATGATTAGATAAATTGATTTAGTGCATAAATTGTTGGCACCAGGGCAACAATAAATTAGAGAAGACACGAAAAGAAATAGATCATAGGTGCAAAGCATAGAATGGTTGACATTCTTTCTGAAAGGAACCCTTAAAAGTTTGGGCCCAATCCCACCCCCACACGTTGGCAGTTCCTTGCAGATGATTTAACCTGAAAAGGTGTAAATTTATAAACTAAAAGGGGTAGATTATGTGAGTGCATGTATTTGATGAGGACTTTAGTAGTAGGTTAGGTATCCAGCGCCACTAGTTTACATATAACCTAGGTGGCAACTTACATTCAGCTTTAACTAACTGCATTTATGCAGCCCAACACATAACGCATGATGAAGCCTTTGCAAAGTCAAAATGCGTCAGTCCCATAAAAAACAATAATTGTGTCGCATACTCAAAAGTAGTAGGTGCATACAATATGTATCATATAACTTGCACCAGCTTTTAGGGTTTTAATATATAACATATATGTTGGTTGAGGACAAAAATTACGGCAAGAATCACAAATATAAAAGAAGAATAAAATTGAGATGTGCATTCAGCTCCAGCTCCAGAGTCACGCATCTCTCTCAGAACATTACGCATGATGAAGCCTTTGCAAAGTCCAACTGTGTCAGTCCCATAATAAACAATTATTGTGACGCATACTCAAAATTAGTAGGTGCATGCAATATTTATCATATAACTTGCACCAGCTTTTAGGGTTTTAATATATAACATATATGTTGGTTGATGACAAAAATTACAGCAAGAATCACAAATATAAAAGAACAAAATTGAGATGTGCATTCAGCTCAAGCTCCAGAGTCGCGCGTCTCTCTCAGAACATTATGCATGATGAAGCCTTTGCAAAGTCCAAATGTGTCAGTCCCATAATAAACAATGATTGTGAAGCATACTCAAAATTAGTAGGTGCATGCAATATTTATCATATAACTTGCGCCAGCTTTTAGTGTTTTAATATATAATATATATATGTTGATTGATGACAAATGATGGTAAGAATCACAAATATAAAAGAAGAACAAAATTCAATTTTTAAAGTCGATAATAGTTAAATCGCATAATCTAAACAGAAAAAGTAATAAAAAATAAAACCTCAAATCTCAAATTAAAGAAAAATGTGAATATGGTTTATACTCACCAAGTTTTTGTGCATCACCAAACCATTTGCTCATTAGGTTTGATATCCTTACATTAATGAAAACAGCTCCAGACTCTTTGGCGATGGCTTTGGCAAGCATCGTCTTTCCAGTACCAGGTGGTCCATATAACAAGACCCCCTTTTGGGGACTGAGAAGCTTCCCATGCGAAAATAGCTCGGGCCTACGTAGTGGGAGAATCACCAATTCATGTAATGCTTGCTTAATGGTTTCCAAACCCCCAATAGAGTCAAATTCCACATCAATGTGATCAGGATTTATAACATCGCAAGCTATAACATCCTGTCAATCAATTTAAAAGATACGATTCAAACATAACAGACAACAATTATCTTTTAAAAGCCTTAGTAAATAATATTCCAAAATTTTATTTTTTAACAAGTAATTTTTTTTTATCACATTAAGGGGATAGAATAGCTAAGGCAGTAGGCACCGCGCCTCATGGAGCGGATGTCCATCATTCTGCTCCCTGCCTTTTCGGTTAGTCCCCATGGGATTTCCCAGGACTTAACAGGCATATGGGCAAGGAGGGAATTACCCTTCATTTCCTGAAGTCCTAATAAAAGCATATTTCACGTCAAACCACTAAAGAAGCAAATCTTAAGTTTGAAACCATTACAAGAAAATTTTGTTCTCAAATAAAAGAGGGTAAAAGTGTTTCAAGATCATATCCTTTTCCTGAAAATCTTTACATCACTTATACTTCTTTTTTTTCCCCCCTTTTCGCATTCTGATAACAAGAAGAACAAACAAACAAAGCCTTTCCTCAACTACTTGATGTCAGATACATGAATCATATTTTTCCATTCTACTTGTTAGGTCAATAGGACTTATGTTGACAAATTTTGTAGACCAAAACTATAGCCTGTTAATTTTGTTTTCTTGAATTTTTGTTAATTAGAAATTTCAAAAGTAAGTGTTAGTTGTCACTTGTCACCCATTGTTCATTCTTGAAGATGGACATGGGTAAATATGCAACATTCTACACCAAGGGTAAAAAAATAATTTGACACTCGGTTACACTTGCCATATTAGAGTTCATGCATACATGCTTGGGTTTTCCAAGATTTGATGAATTTGATATGATTTGATGAATTTGATATGATTTGATGATCAAAATCCCTTTTGGTATGCATATAAGTGCTTTTAAAAACTTCTTTTTTGAAAATTTTTAACTATAAAATTGCAGTAGATTGATCAAGGTATCAGTCAATGGCCACTGGAGTCCCATCAATCAATCAATGTGTTGCTCGATCAATCCAGCTGTTTGGAAATTTAGTTTCCTTTCCAAATTGAAACACTGAAAATCCTACTCTCTATAAACCTATACTTTACCTATATACACACCACAATACAAAGGCAGATTACACACACTAGAATACTTAGCTAGAGCATATAAAGAGTTCGTGAGTTCTAGAGTGCATCTAATTTTCTTTACATTCATCATTCTTGTATTAAAATTGGTGAGTGTGTTCTTAGAGTGTTGACATCATCACTGCAACTTTTTTTTTTTTTTTTCTCCATTGAATAGAGATTGATTCAGCCAACTAGTGCCAGAAGCAGATTCGTGTTGAGTGCAAAGTTTGTTCATGAGCAGACCCTATACCTGGAGACTCAAGGAGAGTTTGATGAATTGACATGTGTTAAGAGGTAACTATGGATTTTCTAATATTTCGGAAAACTATTAACCTAGGTTGTAATACTTCTTTCTCATCAGGAATTCGGTTTGCCTGAACTAGGTCCCTCAGTTTTTCCAATTGGGTTTTCCACGTAAAAAATCACTGTGTATTATTTATTGGAGGATTAAAATGAAAGGATTGAGTGAATTTTATCTTCGTCATAATTTGAATTTAAATTTCTGTTAATTCCATTTAAATTCAAAGATAGTTAAGACTACCAATCCAACCATCAAGACGCATTCAATGAGACTTCTATGCATAAGTACCTAAAGTTGAGCCTAAAAAAGTAAAATTGGTGCATCAAACTGTAACATAGTTCAAGAATTCTATAGATACATTATCAAGGTAGCAGTCCTTTACATTTCAATCAGGCGCTTTAAATTAAAGCCTACTTATGTTTGGCGCCACTTTTTCTTAATGCTACCAAAATAAGAAGTTCTTAAGCCATCTTCTTCTTCTTCCTTTTTTTTTAAAATTTTTTTATTTTATTTTTTAACAAAGTTTCAGTCTTCCAGAGTCCTCCGTGAATTTCAGGGAGCTTTTAGTATAATTTCAATATTCAGCCAATATTTCAAGTCTAATAAAATTGACTGATTTTATATCACCATAATTAAGTATCACTGCATATATGCATACAAATTTGTGAACTTTTCCATTCCAGATTGCTGTTCGTTTCTTTGAAGACAATAAAATTAGCAGCTAAGAATAATTAAACAAACCAATTGAATTCCCGCGGATTCCAAGGAACCAAACACAGAGTTAGGGTTTAAGAACTGAAAAAGATTAGATTGTAAAAACACAAATGGATAGATACCTCGTAGGAATTGGTTTCGATGAGTGGTCTACCCAAACGCTTGGCGATTTCTTTCTTCCGTTGTAGGGCTTTCTTGGAGGCGTCGCGGTTTGGGTCGAGATGTCGAACCCCCGATAACAGCATCAAGTAGCCGATAGCGGCGGTGGCGGCGTACAACACCAGTTCTTGTAAGACATTTGTATCTGACGAACCTCTCATTGCCAAAACCCTAGATATACACTGATTCTTCTTGTAAGTATGATCTTATATAAGATATATGCGTGTGTATATATAGAGGGAGAGTATTGCTTCTGCTATAAGCTTACTTTTACTGTGTGGGTAACCAGCGAAAAGTAAGGTGAGAGATTGAAGGGGGTCAAGGTTTCACTTTTTTGGTAATCGAATGGACGATGGATTTAATGAGCATCGGTTCAGTTTACAACATCAAACGACATCGGTTTTATTACAACGAGGTTTGGCGGTTACAAGTTCAGACTTCAGGCCCAAAACATAACACCGACCCATGATGACACTGATCTCCTCTCGACCCTGAAGTGATGGCATTTTTGCCACTCTATTATTATTATTATTATTATTATTATTATTATTTATAATTATACTCACCTCCCTTACAAATTCGCTAAATAACATGGACCTTTCTAATGGTTCAAATATAAAATGTATTCAATGACGATTATATTCATTATACTTTAATTATTCATTCCTTCCAAAATTCTGGAAAACTTACTGTCATAAAAAAAAATTGGATTCCCCAAAAACACTCCAAGAATTTTGGGATAGAGGAATTATTTTTTTATGTAAAATATATGTTTCTTTTAGAATAAAATAGTTTTTTTTAAGCTTTCTAAAGTTATTCTCCAGTTTTAATAGTATATATTAATTATGACATAAGCAGACAAGAGAGGTTAGGGAATTCAGTGTTATAAATAATAATAATAATAATAATAAACTTTTTCAAACTTTTTATTTATTTATTTATTAAACTTGTTTATTAAGAAAATAAATTGAGTTTGAACTTGATTTGTGAATTTGTTTAATAGATAAGCACATGTTGACGCGTGTAAGCTTTGTTTGTATATGTTTACGAATATAACCTCATAAACATATGGATTCACGAATTGAGGTTTGTGTAGAGTTCATAAACTCGTGAACACATTGGCTTCAAAGACGAATCAATTGTCAATAGGGTGGACTGTAGTAATAATAATTTTTTTTTTTTGGGCTGAGCTAAAATTAAGTATAATTTTTTATTTTTTTTTTGGGTGGGCAAGCCAATCCGCCAGTGATTGGTTCACAAATGTAGGCTTGTGTAGGGTTTTAATGGTTCATGAAAGAAGGCTCATGGGCATAAACTTTTATGAGCTCATATAAAGTTGTAACCTAACCAAATCAACTCTAAACACGAGATCAAACTGAGTATGGATAGGAATATGATATCAAGGTTGGTTTTTTATTTTTAAATTTTTATTAAATGATGTAAACTGAGTCGAGCCCGAGCTCATTACGATTTCAAGACGAATTTGAGTTGAACTCAAACGAATGAGACAAACTCAAATAGATTGAAACTCATTTAACTCGGTTCATTTTTCAACCGTACATGTACATACACATATTGTCACGTCACAAAATCTTAAATACATGAACTCTTATCTCGTATTAAAAATTGGCATGACTTCTTTACATAACCACAACTTTAAATAAATAATAATAATTAAATAAAGAAGTAGATGTAAATCTCCATCTAATTGATTAAATCGGTACATCCATAACAATAATCGACCTTGTCAAAAATAATCCATGATAACTGGACAAACTAAACTAAATCTCCAAAAAAAATATCGTCATTCTTATTACAATGATCCCAACAATGAAAAAAAAAATTGAACTAAACCAAAGAATACGAAAAGTTAGCTAAAATCCATCGTCATCATGTGATCTCATCACGTTCCTACTCAACATGTACCTAAAATGTGATAAAGGGGTGAGCTCCCAAGCTCAGCAAGAAATTGCTAAACACTATCATCGTTCAGCAAGTCAATCATTACTTAAAATCCGTATATATATAAAAGTGACCACGAAAATATTTACTAATCATTGTCATTCTATAACTTTAACTCAAACTGTGAACCTATAACCCATCTAGAATTTAAATTACTAAAATTCCACTTACCTCACATGAGCCCCTGACTCCCCTCAACCAGTTGGCGTTCTAATGCCAATACCTCACATGAGCCCCTGGCTCCACTCCGAATAAACGGTGTGAATTGCATAGTCCCTGACTACCAAATACACACATGTGGCTAGGTTATACGTCTACTCACTCAGATGGCCCCTGACCACGTTCACATATTAAGGGCACCTTTAGCCCAATGGCCATAACAAAAGAGTAATTCACTCCCGTAGACAGTTGTAATACCCCTAATTTTAAAAGGATAGTCTCGGCATTTATTTATTATTTTTGTTGTATTTTTGCATGATTATTTGGTTTCATTATTCTATTTAATTGTTTACCTGTGTGACGTGTATTTAATTGGTATATGTTTATTTGTTTAAATTGCATTTTATTTTATTTAATTGGTTATTAAAGGTTTTGCATTTTATTTTATTTAATTGGTTATTAAAGGTTTTAATTTAGGAAGTATTTTAATTAACTATCTTTTTTTCATAATTGAGGGTTTAGTTTCTTTAGCCGGCACAGGATTTAATTAAGTTCTATGGGCCGGTTAGGATTTAGTTAGGGCTCTAATTAGTTTAGGGTTTTGGTATAACTCTATAAATATATGGGTATACGTCTGCCGAGGGTTTCTAAAACCCTATTCACCATATTCCCGTATACAGTAAAGAGAGAAGTTGAGAGAACAGAGCATCGTAACAGTCTGTCAAGGAGAATAACAGAGAGGACCAAGGGAGGTGTTTGGTGGATTAGATCAGAACCAGAGGAGGCTAGAAGGTAGTCAGTGGTTGCCGGAAAGCTTAGAACAACGGCGACAAGGTTCTGTTTATAAAACTGTACATGCAAGTTTTTCTCTTTCTCCTTCCCTTTGGCTCGTGTTCTGTGCACCTAGATAGTCTCTAGGGATTAACTAATTAGTAAATGAAACTTATGTGTTCAATGTATGCTTGTTGATGATTTGTTTGCATTGAATCCAAATTTGTTTATAGTTCGTGTATTGTTGTTTCCTGTTCTGTTCATTAAAGCATATTAAAAATCTGTTGAGTTTTGGTTATGATTCTTGCCTCTATCTTCTGTAAACAAACCCTAAGGATGTTAATGGGATGTTATAAGACTCCTAAGATCAGTTTGTGAAGAGAAATAGAGAGGTTGGAATAGAATTATAATTTCAGTTTGGTTCCTAACGCAGGTTAGTTCGGTAGCAAATTTAGTCTCTGTAATTGTTTTAATTGTTGTTATCAAGCCATTGGGATGCTACTGGGTATTAATATGACACCTAAGTTTGGTTTTAAAAACTAACAGAGGGTTAGGAATAAGCCGAAGAAGGAGCACAAGAGCTGAAACATGCACCGGGGACGAAGGCTTTCAAAGGAGGTGAGAGCCGGCTCCATGGAAGTGGGAGCCGGCTCCCACAACAAAGTGGAGCCGGCTCTAGGGAGTCCTAGAGCCGGCTCTAGGCTGGAAAAGAGCCTGCTCCAAATTCTGGAGTAGGCTCCCTTGGTATTTTTGATTTATTTTACGATTTTTTTTTAATTTTCTACATACTATGTTCACTGTTGGAGCATGGAGACTGTTTGAATGAATTTGGAACTTTACAGAGGGATTAAGGAATGAATTTTGAGTGTTATTAAGATCCTAAATTGAGTAAAGTTTAATTCTAAGTTGTCGGGACAAACAGTGTAAAAATTAAGGCACTTAACAAATGGAAGTTGAATTAATTGTTGAATTAAAATTCAACAATTTGATGGAACATAATGTGTTTATAAAACTTGTTTTAGAATGCATTTAAGTGCATGATAAGGTCATTTAATTATTAATTTTGATCTATGCATGCTTAGGAGGCTAGTTGCTGAATTATTAAATTGTTTATTGCAACTATATGGTTAATGCTTGGATTTAAACTGCTGAAATATTTAAACAATCTTCTGAATTGTTTTAGCAACTTATTGGTTAATAATAGGATTTTTTTAACCTATTCACATGCATGATGGAGTCCCTGACATATTATATTTGGTCTATGCATGCTCTGGATGTTAGTTATTGATTTGTTAAATCGTCTCCTGCAACTATATGGTTAAATGCTTGGATTTAAATTGCTGAAGCTTTAAATATTTTTCTGCAATTGTTTGGATGGTAGTTTTTGGTCTGTAAATTATTGAACTGTTATATATGTTGTAATTTACATGGATATGGAGGATGGTATGTACCGGTATGGGACGGTGACATACTAGGGACGGTTTAGCTCAAAACGCATAAACCTAACCTAATGGATTAATGAAATGGATTAAAAGATATCGAATCCTAATTGTGACTAAGTCAGATCAGCTGTAAACAAGTTGGATGACTTCCTGGATTAACGGATGGTAGTTAAGTCATATCAACTGAATAAGTTGAATGACTAACTAGTTGGTTTATTGTATGACAGTTTAATAAATAGTTGAACTGCATACCCTGGATTTGGACGGACTTTATATATATAGTTATGGTACCACGAGTTGAGCTTGAGTCTCAGACTCGTTGGTTAGGGTGCGTATATGCAGTGGATGCGTAGCTGGTTATAATAGGTTGAGGTGTATCCTGTTAGGTCTAGGTACTCATGCCCACCTTTGGGTGCGTATTCGCATGTTGCCTTCTATTTAGGTTGAGACCCCTATTATAGACTGGTGAATGTCCCTTAGTGTGGATATATTTATACGTATGGACTAGATAGATATTGTGAGGTGTCTACGGTGTATCTGCGTATCGGGTCATTGTATGGATTGCAGTTAGATTAGAACTTGCTCGTGGGTCTGACCCACTCCTTTATTATTCTTTTCAGGTACAGGACGGTTCCAGCCTTAGAGCTTGATCGTGCTTGTCGAGGACAGTCTCACCTTCATCTAATTACGTAGGACTTCTCTCGATATTTCTAGCATTATCTATTTTCAGTTTTCAGTTTCAGTTGAACTTTTGGTTAGGGGTCCATCAGTGGATTCCCAAGTTATAACCTTGAAGTTTTGGAGGATTGGATTTTCAATTTTCAGTTATACATGGAGGATTTTATAATTAATGTTACTTTCAATTTTATTCCATCACTTTTGTTCCATTTTGGCATCTGTGTTCGCTTTAAAATACTTTAATTGTTTGATATTCCCTCGGGTTTGGGCCTAGGCCTGATCAACCCGTGTCTCGGATCCGAGGGGTATCACAACAGTCCC